GGTAACACAGAAGCAGCCCAGTACGAGAAACCAAGGTGAAGGAATAGAGAGGGATCACTTGTTTGAGTTCCAAGGAAGGTTTATTTCCCAGAGGATTCAGGGACAAGTGACCATAACTGAGGGCAAAAAGCTGCTTTTAAGGAGAGGTGGGAATAATGGGAGGAAACAACCTTTTACCAATAGGAAGGCATTAGGGGAGGAGTGCAGGGTAAGGGCTATCCAATAGAAGCCACCAAGGGGAAGGAGTAAACCTTGCACCCCAGTCTTGCTTCGAGGAAGGGATGAAGGACAGGGAACATCTCAGAAGGGAACAAAGGAGGTACAAGGAGACTGACAGACACTTGGCAGGAGAATCTTGGGGTAAACTACTCAGGACTGAACCATTAGGGAAGCCAAATGGGGTACATGGAATGAACCATTACAAGCTTATAACAAAGAATATTTAAAACCTACTACAGAAGAACAAACTGTAAACCAACAGACTACCACAGATACCTTTTGTGGTTTATCTGTAATACAATGTTTAGTTTAAGAAAAATATTCTTAGCAATTCTATTGTACCTAGTTTCAATAGCACCTGCAAAATTAAGGATTTTAAGAAGATTGTTTTATATTTTCAAGTCCCTCTGTTGAAAGAAAAATGAAACTCTCTCAGAAGTAGGAAAGAAACTGAGGAATGTAAGAAGTTGCATGTTTGCATTACTTCTCATAGTTAATACTGGATTTTATTTTGTGCATTTCATATAACTTTTGTCACTTATTTTATATATTAAATCCCTGGTGTTTGCTGCACAGAATGTGGAGCTTATTTAGGGTTAGACTGCTCCAAAGACAAATAAATAATTATTAAGTAAACCGATTAGATACTTTTAGCTGTAATTCAGAGTAATTGCTGAAACAGGCTTCTTGAGGAAAGGATAGTGATGATGTCCTTAGTAAGAGTATCCTTGCAGATAAAGTAGAAGAGTGTGTCTGAGCAGGTTGCCAAGTGAACCAAAAGCTTGGAGTGACTTGTACAGGGAAAGAAAATTGTCTCCCTAATTAGAAAGGATGGCAGTGTTTTGGGATGCAAAATGCTTTGTTTACAGTAGTGCAAAAACATAGTCATGCTGCAAGACTTCTGAGCATTAGGTTTAAGGTTGGTTCCTACATATCCAGTTAATCTTCTCATTATAGAATTCTGGGAGAAATTGAAGTAGGGCAGAAGAAACGATGTGCCATCTGGTTTCCAACCTCCCCAAAGATAATGGGGATAATGTGGAATGCTTACATCTTAAATGTGATATTTCTTGGCCTTGTTTCTTGCAGTTGGTAAACATGAATTAACTGGGCATAAAGTCACAGTGAAGATCCTAAATCGACAGAAGATTCGCAGTTTTGATGTTGTAGGAAAAATCTGCAGGGAGATCCAGAACCTCAAACTCTTCAGACATCCTCATATAATTAAACTGTAAGTTTTATTTGCTATAATAATCATACCTATTTAAACAGTAGTCTCTTACTCTCACTGGTCTGAAACATGTTTAAAGGGCAATACTATTCGTGATATACTTTTAGGAAAGTAGCCACTTTTCAACTATGTAACCATTTTTTGTGTACTTTGTAATGCATTTTCACAAAACTGATTATTCTGCAGGGCAGAGGGCTTCCATTAGTTCTTTACTTACAAATTCTTTGGGCAGGTATAGAGAAGGTAGTGGCATGATGGCTGCTTATAGTAACATCCATCTCAGTTGTTTTAGCTGCTGCTTCTGTTTTCTTTTTTTCTGGTTATGTTTAAACCTTGTTTCTGCTTGGAAACTGAGTTCAGAACAAGATTGTAAAGCGTACTTGTATAGTAAATTTGTTGTGTTTTCTTTACTCAAAATATTTTTTAGGGTTGTGTTGGTCAGTGCCCTTTTTTTTCCTGTGTAGATTGTGCTCTACAAGATTTTTCTGAAAGATGTGCAGTCTATTAAATGTGATCTCATATTTCAGAGTTCTTCAATATAGCTGTTACTGCTTAACTAAATAAATGTAATATTTACAGCATGCCTATTTGCATTTGTTTGATCAGTAGCTCATCAACAGAGTTCAGAATACAGTTATGCCCCAGAGTAGATACCTTGTACCTGGTCTGAGGAAAAAAATTATAAATACTATTTACTTTTTTACTTTTTCTATAAAGTCAACCTGTACATCTAGCAGGGCAAATTTAGAATGTGGGTGACTTTCACTGTTAATTGTGGTGTTGGAGTTAAGGTTTTCTTTATTGGCAGAGTCTTTTCTTTAGATCATGCTTTCACTGATATATGCCATCCCTATACACTCATTTGGCAACAGCACTTATACTGGAGCTAAATTTGATTGTGTCAGATCACAGACTTCTTCAGTGGGTCAGTTTTCATAAGACTATTGAGCTGATTCGTTTGGCTGCAGTGCTGCTAGTGATGCCAGTTGGAATTCATTAATTAATCCAAAGTACAAAACAAAATACAAAGTGTAAGTGTGCCAATTGAGATATTTGGGCTGGAACAGGAATGTCTACTTCTGGTGCTGCCGAACTTTTAATTCATCATAACAGGTTTCAGGTTGCAATTTCTTTCTTGGGGAATTATGGGGAGAATTTTCTCTTCTGCATCTTGAGAGAAAGGACAAGGCAAAGGAGATGATAGAAAATTTGATGGGTCCCAAGCTTTTCAGTTGGTTATCCTGCATTTCCAAAACAGAAGGGTTATTAGCCTGTATGCAAATAGCATTTGAGCTATAACTGATAGTGTTGTGTAGATAGACTTGCTGGTGACTTTGGATCATGCTGCTTGTGCTATTAGCTGTATTAGGGAACTGCTAGGTTGTTACGAAGCAGAGCAATGCAGGCTCCCCAGGCAGGTGCAAAAGAGAGCTCCTTTGTTGCAAAAACCAGGTCTTTTTAAGCAGTTGAGCTTTTATCAGTTACATTTAAAATACAACAAACATAATCCAACCAACCACCATACACCACAATGTGAACACACAATGGCTATATAACTTGTTTTTCTACCTCTAATTCAGCTGAGTCACTCCCATAGTCCTTTTCTACTTAGCCGAAGTAACAGGAGTGAGCCATGATTTTACAAGGCCTTCATTTTGTAAGGTTTTACCTATCTGCAACACTAGGTAGCAGCTCAAGATTCTTGGCATAAAGGTAATGAGATTATTTCAGCTGAATATTACAAATTAGACAAAAAGTTTTCGTACAATGCTTTACCAATATATGCAGTTGCAAAGCTGCCTCACAAAGATTTTCTTTTTATACCATGCTTTAAATAAAAACATTTGGAGCATCTCCTTTTGTGGTTTTTGACCTCTAGCAATAGAATGCATCTTGTTTTCCTATGTAAATTGCCTGTTTGTGCATTCTGGTCATCTATGCTGTGTGGTTTGATAACCTTACTTATAGGTATGTAACTATTTCACAACATCCTTTTCCATAATTACAAAAATGAACTGACTATAGAGACGCATGACTGAATCGTCCGAGAGGCTGAAAATGTGAGGTGCAGAATGACACATTCTTTTCAGTGATGCTAAGATGTTTTTCTTCCATCACTGTTCACTATCTCACTATCTAGGGGATGGAAATGACCGTGACGATCTAAAATATAAGCTTGCTCATGTTTGCCTGAAGCATAGAGCTCAGTGATTTCACAACTATGGAAAAGGTCATTAACAGTAGGGGTGTTAGAAATTAGGTTGCACTGTAGCTTTTGGATTAAAAGGATTACAGTGTTATTTCTGTAGAGTGTCTTAGTGATAACTTCAGAATGTTCAAGTACATGACACTTTCAACCAAGGTATTTGAGAGAAAATTATTAAAGGTAAAACATCTTGGACTATAAGATGTTAGGTAAGTTAACTTTGAAGACAACTCCTTCAGAATAGTATTCAGATTATTGGAAGGTTACACTACAATGCTGAGCTGGTAAAATAGATACATGCACACATATATATGTGCACACATATATATGTGCCCACATATATTCACCTGGACAATCTGAACTCATTGCTGTCAAGAAAAACTTCTCTGTTAGCAGGAGCCTGTCTGTTTTCCCCCCTTGTCTTAGAATCAGCATTTGGAAGAACATTTCAGTTCTGTAGTGTATGGGTGAATTCAATTATTTTTTTTACAATTGGAATATTTGTATGCTTAAGTGTAGTACCTTGAAGCATTCATTTTCATCCGATTGCTATCACCTGTCTTCTTAATATATTATCTGAATTTTTTGACTGAAGGTTTATTGGTGTGCATTTTCTTGCTATGTTAAAAATTGGTCACTTCTGACTGCTGTAAGGAGAAAAAAAAATTAAACAACCTTTAGGTAAGGATATGTAGAAAACATATCAATCTCCTAAGTGGAGAATTTGACCATAAACTAGTTTTTTCAAAACCTCAAAGCTAACTTTAAAGTGTAGTGATAAAAGTAAAATAACCAAGGTGTTAATACTCTTAAGTACTAATGAGAAATTTAGGTCTCTCTGTAAAAGATAATTGCTCTCATTCATCATGAATATTTTTTCAAGTCTTGAAGTATACTTTATTTATGACAAGGCAAGGGGTTTTTGCTTGGTAAAGTTGAAGGGTGTGTGCTTTTTGAGACACTAGCAAAGTCCTTTTGAATCCCTTCCTCATTACACAAAAATGTCTGTGCAACAGCACTGTATATGGCTTTACAGAAAACATTTGGACTCAGAGTACTCCTCTGAAAGTACAAAGACTGATCTTCCTCGTGAGTAATACAAATTCCCTGGTAATCTTGTAAATGATGGTATCACATAGTGAAAGGAGAGGAAATAGCTTCTGAATAATATCATTCCAATAGCTGTAAATTGGCTGTTAATTTTTTTCAAGTATACTTTTATCTGACTCTTTGCACAACTTTGGTTTTAACTAAATGTAGCTAGCTGCTTTTACTGAGTGCATAGACTAACAGATACTTATTCTTATCAGGTACCAGGTCATCAGTACACCAACTGACATTTTCATGGTAACGGAATATGCTTAAGGAGGAGAACTGTTTGATTATATCTGTAAAAATGGAAGGGTAAGAAGTAGTCCAACTCTACAAATCAATTACTTGCATTCTGTTATTGCTTTTGCAACCTTCTTGTTAAATGAAGGTTTGTTTCTTATGTATTCATCATTAATTTTGTGGTTAGCAATTAAAATATACCTTATGACTATATCTTGTTTTGAAAATAAAAATGGTTATATATTAACATGTTTCAGATCTTTATATGTGACTTTGTAGCATTTTTCCACTCTACTGAAGAATAAATGATACTGATATATTAATTTACAATTACTGTGTACAAACTGGATGGATATGTTACCCAGTTGGAGTAGCTGTAAACTTTCTTCAGTATAAACTATTATTGACAAACTACTGTTGTGCCCTTATTACCCTCTTCTACTATTAGACTAGTTTCTGTGAAAGTCCTAAAGCCACTTTTGACAAACCATCTAGATAACCAGGATACTTTTAGTTAGGTGTTAGACTGAGCAAACTTTGACATGGATCAGGGTGTGTTTCTAGGAAATATCCAGTTAAGTCTGCTGTTTAGGGCTAGCTGTTAATAGGAGCATAAGCAGCATCCAAAATTTATCACTTATATACTGAGTGTCAACTTTTGTCAACTTTAATCTTATACCATGCTTAAGTATCTAAGTTCATTTATATTCTAATTAGACAAAGTTAATGTTTGGGTGCTAATATTTCGAATTACTGAGTATATAACATCTACTGTATAAAATATCAAAACTATAAATGATAGCTTTTGGTCATTGGAAAGTTTCCTTCAATTCATATAGAGGAAAATCAAGTTATTCTTCCACTGTCTCAAAATTGTTTAAAACTTTTGTTTGTCTTAGCTTGATGAAAAGGAAAGTAGACATCTGTTCCAGCAAATCCTTTCTGGTGTGGATTACTGTCACAGGCATATGGTAGTACATAAAGATCTGAAGCCTGAAAATGTGCTGCTTGATGCACACATGAATGCCAAGATAGCTGATTTTGGTAAGCATTGCTATTTTATATCTGATCACATTTCTGGTGTTATTTAGATCCTGTTAATTTAGATCCTGACCCAACCCCAGGACCTCGCTCGCTTTTCTCGCTGCTGGTAGTTTGCAAAGTTCAGGTCGAAACAGTTTCTAATTGCTAAATGTAGTCTTTATGAGTGGCTACAGTTGCAAATCCAAAACAACCACCTTCGAAGCAGAGCTCACGCCTTTCTTTCTTTCGTCACAGCTTTTGCTAAAGTCGCCACTTCCATAGTTTTTTCTCCTTGGCCGGGTGCTGCTGACGAGTCACCCTCGACTTGGACCGACCGACCGGGGAGGTGGTGCAATGCCCTGGCTGCGGACAGGCAGCTGCGGATTTCACCTTAAGGCAGTCCAAAACCGCTAACTGCAGTGTCTCTGAGAAAAGGAAAATCAAATGAAAAGAGAACCCAAAAAAACTCCACTTAAGCAAAGCCCAAACAGCCATAAAAGCAAAAAACATGAGGCAAAAGGGGGCAAGCTGCTCATTCCAACAGACTTTAAAAGCTTCCTCAAAATATACCCCTTCACCTCCCCCCCCCCCCCCCCCATTCTGTTCCTGGCTGCACTGCTGGTTCTTAAAGACACAGCTTAATATTTTCTCTGATAATGCTAAGTAGACTTAGTTCTCCACCTTACCACTTCAAAACTGACTCACTTGTCTGTTTCTTTATCTGTAAAATGCAGATGCTTAGCTCTCTTTTAACTACAGTGCAGGGAAAGTTCATCATATTTAAGAACTACATTGCTCTAGTAAAATACACTACTTCTAAGAAACTGCTCTAATTTCACTTTAAAAGCTCTACAGATGCAACTGAAAAATGAAATTAAAGCATAAAAGGTAAAATAAGAACAGTTTTTCAAATTCCTGTGCTTTTAGCTATACAACTGCTGTGGGAAACAGAGCTTACTCTTTGAAATTTTTAAAAGTTTAATAATGGATAAAAGGGACAATATCCAGCGCTGGGGTGTTTGGCAATATGCCAAAAGCACACTTGGCTTAAAACAATGTACTTATATACTGTTCCATTGCATGCATTAAAGGCATATTCATGAGCATTTATACATTATTCAAATATTCCTGTGTCCTAGTTTAGGGCAAATTTGGGGAAAACCCTCTGGAAGGAGCCCCCAGAAAACAAAACCCCCGGCCCCTCCCCACCCATCTGGTTCGGGAAAAAATTTTCTCTGAGAGAAGTGGAAAAGAACCTGTTTATTAACAAACAAAGCACTCCCCAGCACCAAAAAAAAAAAAAAAAAAAAAAAAAATTAACAACACCAGTTGACAACAAAACTCTTTCACCACTCTGAAGAGATGAACAAATCCAGAAAGCCTTTCCTGGGAGTGGTCGCCCGGGTCTGGACGCTGGGGATTGCTCTCCGGCACTGGGGATGGCTGCTGCAGATCACAAAGCCCAGGCTCTCGGTGTTCCTCGGTGTTTCCCAGGTCCCAGTCCGAAGCAGGTTGGATAGTATTCAGGAAGAGGAAAGGAAAAGAAACAGTCCAGGGAAAGAATTGGACTGCTTAGCGAAACTAACAAGGAAGCAAAGGCAAAAGCAGAAGCTAGCAAAGCAAGCCTGCAAAAGCAAGCAAGCAAAGCAAGCCAGCCAGCACTAGCCTCTTCTAGACAACAGACCATGGTGGAAGGTGAACTGGCTAAAAACAAGGCAAAACAAACCTTCACTTTCAGAGTCAGTTCTGAAAGCACAGAACATAATATCAAACATAAACAGAACACACTATTGGAGATACAAACACCATAACATCACCCTAGAACTTCCTGTGAGTTTAGATTTTTCACTAATTCTTTTGCTTGGTTTTAACCTTTGACTTGTTTGCATGCCATCCCGTAGATTAAATCAATATTTTTTATTTCTTCTCATGGTTCCATCGTGTTGTGTTTACATTCTCTGTTAACAAAGAGTCAGTAAATTCTTCTCTTGGTGCTCTGGTTTTTGTCGCTGTTATCATTTCGATATGATCGTCCACAAATGTGAGAAACAATATAATTATTTTACACCATTCTCTGAGTTAGTTCTTGAATAAAAGCATTTTAACATTAAATAGTCTCTATTTTAATATTATGCTAAGGCCTAAGATATTTATCATGCTACTATTTATATAAGCTATATGGCACATACATAAGCTGACAGACTATACTGTATAAAAAGCAGTGAAAAGAAATTATAAATTGTACCATATCAAAATCTTTGTGATTAATAATAACATTGAAAAGCTAACACAAGTGCAAAAGCCATTACTATATTGTCATTTATAACAGCTGCCTAAGTAATCAGAAGCTTAATTCTTTACACTAGTTGTTTAACACAGCTACTGTGAGGACTGGTAGCTAGTTCTTGGAACTGTCTGTGAGAAACAAGCCTCACTCTTGAGACAGAGTGAAAATTTAACAGGGTAGAAATCCATTTGGATTTAGGTGAAATGTGCTGCTTTGAGCTTGCTAACATAAGTAAAATATGCTGTTTAGTCTGGTAACTGCAGCACTAGTAAAATTACCCCAGCTGAGGAGAAAGAATGCAAATTTCCAAGCTAAAAAAATAAGAGATAAGAAAGACTCCTCGGACCTTGAAACAGACAGCGCAGAGTGACCCAGGAGTTCTTTCTGTACTTTCTGACAAAAACTGAGTGCAAGTGTAACTAGCTGTAAGTATAATGCGAAATCAGCAAAATGAATATGCATGAACCTATTGTAAAATTCTATGACTATGTAAATTAGTTAAGGGTAATAAAAAGGGATCTAGAGTTCTCAGAGGAACGCATGTGAACGGGGAAGATCCCTCACATGCGTCCAGCGCTGTAATAAGACATACCATCTCTACAAATCTTTATTGGAATTGTGAGGTCTTGATTTTTCACCGCAATTCATTCTTTAAAATTTTAAAAAGTTTTAGAAGGGATAAAAGGGACAGCAAACAGCGCTGGGTGCGTAGCTGTAGCCAGAGGCACGCCAGTTAATCATAACAACTCTTCTTATACACTTTTTCCATTGCATTGATTAAATACATATTCATAAAAATTATGCATATTCAAACATTCCTTTGAATTAATTTACATGTTCTGGGAATTCTTTAGCTTGGTTTGACCCCTGACCCGCCTTTTTAGAGTACATGCAGTAATGTGTATTGTGTTTTTGAGAGTCCTGTGTCACTTCCTCAAAATGGCCCCCCTGCTCTGGGGTTTCGGCAGGCAACAGTTATCAATAGTCAAAGGGTCAATGGCCGGAGTTTTTATCACATCCATTCCTAAAATGCTATCTGACCATGCAGACGGTTTTAGTTATTTCCACAAGTACTTTAAATCAACATTAGGTATTTCACAAATATATCTGAATTATTCTCATTATTGTCAGTTAGTTACAAAAATAAAAGCATTAGTTATTATTTCGCAGCTACAGCTACTGTGAAAAACACCAATCACTACTTTTTTTAAATTTAAAAAGTTTATTAGTAATAAAATAGTTATAAAAATAGTAATAAAATTAAAGTAATAAAAATTTGGACAATGAGGATTAGGACAATATGAGACAATAAAAAGCAAAGAATTACAGACGTCCGGATGTTTTTGGGCACTAAGATGCCAAAAACATGCCTTGTGAACAAAGGAATAACCCTTTTACAGCAATAACCTGTTGCATAATCATATATCTCATACATTATGCATAAATTCCTTGCAAATTAAGATTTTTTTCTGGTTTTTGTCAACTTCTTCCCCTTAATCCTGGTGGTTCCATAAAGATGGAGAGAAGGTGGAAGAATGTTTGTCTTTTCCGATAAGGAAGCTGTAACCCTTTAGGTATCCTGTCGCTGTTATCTCTGTGCAAAGAGTTTCTTGATTATCTTATCCCTTTCTTGAAGTAGTAAAAAAATATCTTATATCGCATAGTTTCTATTTTTACATTATGTTGTAACCTAAAGCTATATTTAACATACTACTTAAAAAGGATTATTACAGTATTACAAAATAACCCTCCATAACACATATAGTATTGAATTTAATATTTGCAAAGAGCCAATCATTTAATCTGCATTTTTCTCAATCCCCCCTCTTATTCTTTATAAATCATTTGGCTTGAGCAATATTTCTTATCTACTTGCATTCTTTGGACTGTGTTGGTAATCAAATAAAACATGGGATTAAACAAGGAAGAAACATTAAAACAGTTGTAACACATAAAAGGAAGAAGTCTAATTTCTTCTACCATCCCATCTTCAATACATTACCCCACCAGCTAGTTTTAACATTGTTTTCCAACTTTTGGACCAGTACCTGGGTTATTTTTCTGATATCCTTTGTTTTTTCCAGGATGACTTCCCCATTGTCATCTATTTTCAACGGTCCGATATATTAAACTTTCCACAAACACCCCCTTTAGCCAATAAATAGTCTAAAGCCAACCTATTCTGATACACTACAGTTTTTGTTTGGCTTTGCTGACTCGATAATAATTCCAGTGCTTGAGCAGCTTTGTTTGTTATCTTCCCTATAACTGCTTGGAGACCTATAATACGATTCAGTATATAATTTGGGGTCAGTACAGAGATAGATTACTGTACTGGTTTCAACTTTTTTTTTACTAATTGCCTTTTTACTGAATCTGGGACTATATCTCTTAAGATCAAATGTAAAACAAATCTATCTCTCTCCTTTTGGACATTCCATGCCCCATCTATTTCCACTTTTTCCTAAGTTCCTTGTAATCCAATATTTTTCCCCATTTTGCCTGCAGGTACTTAATTTGGATGGGTTATAACAGTGGCTGTTGACATGGGTGTGTGTAACAGAAAAGGAACTTTGGTTTCATTCCATGTAGTACTTTCTGTAGCATTTGTGACACGATCTTGCTGGTATCTCAAAAGGGAAAAGACAACAAATGAGAGACAGAAACAGGAATAACAGAGGTCTGGTATGGCTTATACCCCCACCTCCCCTGCCTATGGAGTTGCTTCCCATAG